GTAACTAGGTCATCAACGAGGTTGATAACTAACCAGATTGGTAGATAACAAGCTATAGGCAGTCTGCAAGGTGGGGGTTGTTTGGTAGCACTGTGTTGAAATGAGCCACAGGCATTTAGCTTTGCTATCTGCGGAATTAAAACTGAGACATTCAGTGAGATGGGTTTCCCCATTCTGCTCACCCCAGCATTTTCTCATGAGGTTCAGCATGAAATCAAGTCTCCAACCCAAGAGTTCTCACCAATAAGGGGAAGATTGAATGTATCTGCATTAGCAACAGTTGCCAAGCAGCTTATCTTAGATTAAGGAAAAACAATTAGATCAGGACCTTTTGGGGAAAAAACAGAAATGGGAATTAACGTCGAGAATATTTTAGTGATTAAGATACCTGCTCAAAATTGTGGTAATGCAGCTTTAAAGTCCCTCTTGTCTGTGAACCATGACAGGAACGTGAATCAGAGTTATGTATCTGAGGTGAGTGCTCTAGTGTCAGGGCTGCTTTTCTGAAATAGGTATCTCAAAATCTCATAGTGGGCACATTTCCCTTGAAATTAATTGGAGTAAGTCAAAAAAAAAAGAATTGCATTGAGTTTGGGGCTTATGGTGCTTACTTGAATAACAGGTAAATAGGATTAATACATCATTTAGTTATTTATAAGAAATAGAAAATAATGTTCTGCAGAAAATAAAATATCTATATTGATATTAAAACATAAAGGAATTAAAACATAAAGGAATGGGGCAGCTGGTGTTTTACAAAGAAATGAAGCATAAATCTGTAGTCCAGTGATAGGTTAAGGCCTAAACTGAGAGACTGCTTATTTTTGGAATAAGCCGTGATCTGATCTTTTTGAGAGTAAGGTGTAGTATTCTCTCTATTTTTATGTGGCTATTATGGAAGAGCAGTCCAGAATTAATTCTGAAAGGTTATGATCGCAGACTCTCTAAACTTATAAAGCAGTCCTTTGTGTGCAGATTTGTGCAGTTCATAATTTGGAATTTGATGCTTCAGTAATTAGGGAATGTGAAATAAACTTGTAATTGGAAAGAATTGTTCTTTAGCCATGTAAAGAAATAAGACTGATTGCTCTGTTGCCATCACAAAAAGTATTACTGAGTGGTTTGGCATTAAAGCCTTTTTTACCATAGAAAGTGTAGTACTTGAATAATAAAGCTCTCAACTCTACTACTGTCGTGGATCAAGTATATGTCATTTGAGAGCTTATTAAGAATGGAGATATGGCATTAAGATTCTTTGAAAAAGGGGGAAGGAGCCTTAAGTAGAAAAATGTAAATATGAAATAATTATTTATTAATTCTTTGCCTAGTCCATTTATTTAAGCAGTATTAATGTTTGATCATTTCTGTTTAATAGAAAATGGCATGTTTAAATAATGTGGCAACTGTATTTTTAAATGCTGTAGAACAGGGTCTTTAATTGGAAAATCAGATTTTGCTATCAAAGATTTTATAGTGGGGAGTAGTTCTGGGTTAGCAGATTTCATAGAAGCCAATGGTGAATACTGCCTATCATTCTGGCAGAGGGTTAATGGTGAAAAATTATGGGTTTTATCTTTTTTTTATAAATCAAAGGGTGAGTAAAAATGTGGGCTTTCTGTAGATCATTAGAATACAAAACTATCTGTTGAAATCAATTAACATGCATATCTGATGACTGATTGTATAAATATGAAAGTCAAATAATTGTAATCGTTAACCATGGCTTCAGGTCATATGAGTTGTCAGCTCAAAAAAAACTAGAGGAGAAGAAGGTTGATTTGCATATATTTAATGTGGCAGGCTGTACATGTGGGAATTTGAGATAAACCTTTGCTCGTAATCTGCTTGTTTTTATCTAAAAATCGACTAGGAAATGTGGATCGTAACAGCCAAGTGAGCTCTGTGTTTTATTGATAGCAGTTGATTCAGTGCCTTGGAATTTGACATTTTACTATATGTTTTAATATGTTAAAATTGTTATTTTACTAAGAGACAGTTGGAAGAGGCTGGTTAAAGAATTTATTCAAGAATTATTCAAAGGTTTTGCCAAATGCATGCCGAAAACTGAACTGTAACTCTGTGGATTGCTTTAAAAGTAATTGTAACTGTATTGCTTTAAAAGTCTTTAGTTGGATTTATGCAGTATATATCATAAGCATTTTTATTCTTATTTGTGATAAAACAAAAATCAGAAGGTGATAGAAGTACAATAAAAATTCTTAAGGAATACAGTCCAAAGTCACAGAAGTATCTTTCCATGTGGAGTGGACCAAGAGGCTGATTTTTAACTTAATTGGTGATTTGCAATAAATAAAGGAGCCTTTAAAGAATTTGCATACTATTTAAATTCCTCAATATAGTAAATCACTGCAACCTATTTTTTTTTCCATGTGTAATACAAAATGCTCCATGTAACTTGTGAGAGTTCAAAGATTCCTTGGAATTCTGGGGCACAGCCAGGAATTGAAACCTTACATTAGCTGTATTTTTTGCTAAGTGGCTGTCTAGCATCTCTTTGTCCCTGTTTTTATGCTTCTGAATATTTAAAATCACTTTTTTCCTGGCCTAAATTTTGAAATACTTACCTCTCTCTCTCAAGTTTCCTCTGGGCACTGTGTATCTGAAGAGCTCTCAAGTGGAAGAAGCAACAGTAGCTCCTTGGAGCTAATTAGTACCTGCAGTTGACGACATTCGCTATCGATGACCTGCTAAAGGGTAGAGAGGACAGCAGGAGATCTTTTTGCTCAGTGCTTTTTACTGGCAGCCTTATTTATTTTTTGCCTTTGTAGAGATTTGAAGTTAGTCCATGCATGTGGTACAATGCAGTTCCTTACATTACTCGAATTAACTTGAATACAGCAGTATTCAACACGGCCTCTGTTTTGCAGCAATCTGCTGCGCTCCCACCGCTGCTCTATTCCTGGTATCCATAGCCTTTAAAATGCAGTGGAATGACCCTGTATTTTGCTGTAACCATCCACTGACCAGAGCTTCATGTGCTCTCTGGAGTACAGGCCTAGGCAGCATTACGTTTTTTGATGTAGGGAGAACAGAACCAGCTGGCAGATCTGAGGAAAAGACCCAAATTCAGTACGGCGGGAGTTTGTTCTGACTGTGGAAGTGGCAAAGGTGCCTGTTTCCCAGGTCATTGGCTGTATTACCTTCCATCCGAGGCTCCTTTAAATAATCTTTGTGTCTATATAAGCAGAGAATGGTGGCCCTCTAATTGGCACAGAAAGTACTACCATGAGGAGATCAGTTCAGGAATCACACACAGAAAACAAAAATTAAACACTATGGTAATTAAAAAACAGAAGTTTTTTAAGAGGAAAAAATATATATAGTTTTAAGACATCCATCACTCTAATAATACAAGTAGAAGAGGAATGAAAATCATTTACTACTTAGTTGTACTTTCTACAGAAAATCTGATTCCAAAATTTCAGGATCATTCCAGAACCATTGTATGTCCCAGTGATCCTTAAAATCTTTTAAATCTGGAAAAGGTACATAGTGTTTTTTTTTTGAGGCTCGATTACCTTAAAAAAGAGGGGTGTGGGTTATTTGTGATTTTTGTTTGGAGTAGGGTGAGTTACAGATGGGAAGGAAGTGTGATTTTTAAAAGCACAGATCTCAGTAGTAAAAGAGAATACCATAGCAAAAAATGTGGTCTTGTTTGCCCTACTTCAGAAAAATATCTTCTGAGAAAGAAGTGGTTCAGGTTCCTTAAAACATTACGTAAGTTTTTCATACTGTTGTGTTTTGGGGCTTGCAATATTATTAGCTCAAAAGGGAGATATGCTTTTTCATGATGACTATATTTAGCCAGGAGGAATAGTCCTTTTTAAAGCAAATTGAAACGAGTGTATGAGAGCGTGAAATTATCAGCAGCGCTGGTGCACATTTACATTACTTCTACATACTCTTTTGAATGACCACACAACAGAACAAGTACTTCATTTCCACTGTGTTGATTTTTCTTGACAAAACATGGCAGTCTATCCAAAGGAGGGTGTTTAGCCAAGATAAATATAAAATTTATGATTAAGCAAAGTGTTTCCTTATTATAATCCCTAAAGAGAATTTGAGACTTGTTAAGTAAAATGTGCCAAGGTAGTTTTAAGAGTAAATTGTCCCTTACACTTTTAAATACTAAAATACTATAAACTAACCCCGTTTGTGATCTTATCAGCAGAAGCAACACTGCCTAGCTACTTCCTTTGAACCACATGGCAAAAAACCATGTATTTATATGACATGTAGTTGAATAGGAACTTTGATGTATTCATTCAGTATTACAGGCCAGTATAGAGATCGAGAATTCACAACAGTGACGTGGCTTGGAAAATCTCTTTCCTGTAGCGTGTGTTATGGTAGGAAGCAAATAAGCCTCCTTTCAGCCAGTACAGATAAAAATTGATAATGTGATTACACTTCTGGCACATTTCTTTAAATGCTCTATTTACAAAATACTGCTTGGAAGAAAACTGTGGTGACTGTCAATATTATTCATTAAAATAAATAGGGAWTGTAAACTGATTCAGGAGATCAGTGAGTTTTGACCTCTGTGGTGTCAGTGTTGGCTTCGGAGCGCAGTGTGATAATTAAATTGTGAATGTACTTAGATAGTGGATATTAAATGGTCTCGTTGTGTTCTTTCAAGGACTATGAACTTCGAAAATCAAGGATAACATTAAATGTCAGCCAAGTATTTTGTCCTTCTCATGGTTTGTCTTTATATCTGAGTTAGTGCCAATTTGCACAGATTGTGTGTCAGCTTAAATACAAGAAACAGGCCTCAGTCTGCTTGAACTCGTTCCACCAAAGACTTCTAAAAACTTTTGGTAGTCTGCAAACTATAATGGTTGTTTCACATTAAGTTGCTTTGTAGAATTATAAAACAGCTTTTCTAGTGCTTTCAAATAAAATGTTGTCATCCACTAATGAATGAGATACCATCTGTAATAATTAAGGTTATTCTACTTGTTTTCCCCCTGCAGCAAAACTTCTGAAGGTTTGCAGAAGCTGGTAAGAGAACCACCAAGAAGGCGACTGCAGTATTGTAAGTACTGTACTTGCCAGGTGGGGGGGACGTGAATTAAGAATATGGCAAGTGGATTTTCATTTTGGGGGGAAAAATGAGCTACATAAAGGGATTACATGTAAAATACTGAGCAGGATGTATTGTAGCAATCGTTAATAATTTACAAGGGGAAAAAAACTGCAGTCTTGTRAAATCTAAAATTGTATCCTTATGCAGTGTAATCAGGATTTTACCAATAGCAGTGAAAACTATTTCTCTATCCAGCAAAGATTGATCTAGTTTATATACATTTGTTTATTTAAAACTATCAGAATTTAGAAAATCATTGTAGTTTTGCAGGTTTGTCATTTGTTTTAGTGACTTATTGTTTAGGTTATTTTGCAGAATTATTTATTTGCTGATTTATTTATGTATTTCATTATTTATTTATTTGATTATTTAGTAAATTATTTATCTGATGAATTATTAATACATCTTCATGACATGCTTTAAATTATTTATAACTTAATTTTGAGTTTATTGCTTTTCGACGCTGCATTGTTACTGACTAGTTTTGATTTTTTTTTTTTTCTTTCCTGGTTCTTGAAAATTAAAGTACTAGCTCTAAGGCAAAAATGTATTCTTTGCAGAATCCATAGCTGATTTTCAATAAAGTAATTTACCATGTAGATACTAATTTTATTTAGCTTTATTTTGCTTAATACTGCTTTTATTTAGCTTTTTCTTCTATTATTTCATAGGTGTATCAAGATCAAATGAGTGGCATTTAAGGAACAGAGATAAATGTTTACTTGAAAAATCTATAGAAGCAGAGTTGTACTGTTTTYCCATTGTTAATTAATCCTTAGTTATCCTTAAAGTTTATTAGAGATATTTTTGTCAAAATAAAAAGGTCCTTTTTAATGAGCCTTTTGATAGCTGAGCTAATATATTTAACTTCTGCTAATAAACAAAATAATAAGATCATATAAATAATTAATGTGGAGACTTCCTTCTTACTTGCAAAGTTTTAAATATATGGGAAGGAATTATAGTACCTTTAGATACATGGAGAAGGAGATATGTCAGTGATAAATGGTTTACGTTTTTTCCCCCCACTATGTTTTTTTGCAGGCATAGGAATTTCTAAACTCCAAAAATGTGGTAGCCCTATGTTGCTATATGTAAACTACTGTCTGTGTCCACAAAGAATTGTTCTTATCTCACAGCATATTGCTGTGAAGCTTGTTATTACATTGCTGTTTTTTTACCAATTGAAAAGGTCTGAAGTCTAGTCTTTTTCTCTGAAGAGCCTTGAATAAGTATATAAAAGCAATGTAAAGGGTCAAATTCATATTTGTGCTTCATATTTGAGCACTACCTCGATGGAGTTTGAAGCAGATACCTCAGGTCAGAATTTGGCAGTGAATTTTCACWGATGTGCTTTTTCAGGAACTAGAAACCTTATCAACCTTCTCTGAAGTTACCTATTTAGCTTCTGTTTCCAGTGAGCAGCTCCTGCAGCAGTCTCAGGCCACCTTATAGGGAGGACACAGGGTTTCCTAGCGCTGAAGGAGCTTTAATGAATCAGGACAAAGCAGTAGCTGCTGTGAAAAGCGCCTTGTACACAAGATGGCCTTTATTCTATGTTTAGTGCCTGAAATGAATTACTATATACTTTAAAGTTTTAACACAGCATGGAAAGGCTGCATTGTACATTTCAAGTTTCAATGCCGTTGAAATACAGTAGAAATGGCCTCTGTAGACAGGTTTCACTATAGAACTTAAATTATGCATGTGTATATCCAAATTCCTTATTTTGAAATATTGAATGTATGAATATTTAATTTGTATCTTGCTTTAGTATCTTCATATGCTTGCCTTAAAGGAAGCTGTTTCCTTTGATTTATACACATGGATAAAAATGTGTGTACAATATGTATCAATGGTTTTTCGCTCTTCAGCATTAGATGAAGAGCTTTAGATAATGATAGCGACTGATTTTTATTATGCAGCTTGCTACCATTGTACAAAACGTAAATTTGTCATATTTGTTCTATTAATCTTCCTTGAATTTCAAAATTCATTTGCTTTCTAGAAATATTTTCTTAATTACATATGTTTAAAAAGTCAAGTATGTGGCACATCCTAACRATGCAGTATTTTTGGTCTGTGCGCAGTAACAAAGCCCTGAATATTCTCATCGTTTGGGGCAGAATTTTAATCTGAAATTTACATTTCTCTTTATTTGACTATTTTGACTGAAATGGAGAACTCCAGGGGACTTCCTGAGTGTATGCTGGTTTATATGATAGGGTCTATGAATTTTTGTACAGTCACTCTTATTTCCTTGCATAAACGAGATCTTATTGTTCAGTAAGACCTATTATATGTGGTTGCAAAGGTAAGTGCTGTCAATACATTCTGCTACCAGATTCTCAGCGTATGAAGCACTTCTTGAAATACATGCTACTGCTGTTACAGGGTAATATAACGCAGCTTATGTGTTGGCGCTGAAAGTAGCTACTTTATAATGATGACAAGKGAAAGTACAGCCAAAGGTCACATTAAACAAGAGATTTCTTTCACACCTCATCCATTTTCTGGATGGAGTATGAAAATAGCTCTGTTTCCTACGCTACTGTATTTTTAAAAAGATCTGGTCTTGATTTTTTTTTTTTTATGCCTTGTATATTACTTAGTTCACATTTTAAGAAATGGATTGTAGAATTTTAGCATGCTAACTTAGGTGCTAAAAAAGTGTTTAAAAGTAGCCTAATTTGGGTGCAGCTGGGCAATATAAGTAATATTTCAGTTTTCTATGTGTTTATTTAGTTCATGAAGTTGCTTAAAGGTGCTTTAAGTTTTAGAGGGAGAGCTACTTATGTTCAATGTGTTATATATATTAATATTACATGACCATACTTTTTCTGTACCATTCTTTTTCTATATCTTTTTAAGAAGAAAAATAGGGATTTTTTTTCTTCTGAAAATTGCAGATTTTCAGAAGTAGAAAAGGAAGAGCAAACATCTCCATGCTGATAGACTGTTCTTTACCTCCAATTTAAAGAGATCCTGTTAGTACTGTGAAAGATAATTTAAAATGTAGGCTCAGTCTTATGCTGAAACAGCCAACAAGGATGCTAAAAAAAGAGTCATTTAAAAAATGTGAATAGTCATGTATTGGATAATGAAAATGAGGCGGACTTGTTTCACAGAGGTTGCTGAGCAGTTAGGAGATGCTCATTGGGAAGCCTAAATCTGGTGTATTATTGATAGGTATATTTCTGTTCTAATCTAACTCCATAGAAATCATAGAAGCCATATTAAGCTCCTCTTTAATTTATTCCATACAGATAAAAGAATTTMCATCTCATGAGTCATATATTTCCTGTTGTATCTTTAATACATCCATTTTTAGTATATTTCTTGCCTCTGTTCTCCATTGGTATGCTTACAGGGTCTGTGTGTAGGAGCCTGTTATTTCACCCATGAAGMAAGGAGGAGTTCAAATCAATAGCAATGTGCCATTGATACTAAATGATGTTTCTCCTTACTACAATAAGGCCTGATTGTGTCATCCTAATGACACTAGCTTGTTTCACAGAGTGGGAATCAGCAYGCTCCCAAAAAGTGTTAAAAACGCCTTGGGGAGGAAATACTAGAAAAATACTCCAGTATTTGTAACCAAACACATGCATTGGATATGTAAAATGGCTATTCAAGAACTTAGCAGTTCTATTTCACTTTGTAGGTCAACTTGTTTTCAATCTGTTTGGATGTTGTAAGATGGAAGAAAGATCRAAGTTGACATGGAAGCATGATATTTTAGAAAGAAATTACAAGWGTTATTTAGAAAAAAAATCTAAAATGGAATTTGTCGTAAGACCGAGGCTTAAAAAAATAACTCAAGCTAGCAGAAATTTTTCATGTTCCTCAAAAAAGTCTTTGCAGAACTACCAAGAAAGAGAATGTCTGCAAGAGAGAAAAGGTATCACCAACAGAAATTGCCACACCAGATCCAGATTAYACTCTACATCAGGACCAAAAAGAAGTAAACAGTTTTTCTTGACTTGAACTTGAAGGAACTGGGGAGATAATAATTATATAAAGATAGGAGTTTAAGGAGAAACCGTGGGCAGCAACACTGTCATGACAGGAACTACCAGATATAATGTTGGTAGCAACAGTGGGTTTTTGGGAAGACCAGATTTTTTGTGGTGAGTGTCTTAGAGCGTAGGAGAGAGAAATAATCCAATTTCACTATTAAAATATTCTATTCTTTAAAGCATCATATTTGTTTKTACATCTTTCTCTGCATAATAGATTTATATTTTTTATATGAAAGACCATTAGAAGATATTACGGTTAATGGTTAAACATTCACATAGTACCTCATGAATTTTAGCTTGAATATTGAACCACAACTGCCCRTTCTGTGAAAACCTTTTCCACAGCAAGTGTCTTTATTGGGTTACACATGTAGCTTTTTAATTATGTTCASTCTGTTTTCATTGTATTATATTTTTCAACAAATCATAGATTTTCAAACGTTCATAATGTGATCTCCGTTTTAATGTTTTTGKTTTTTTTTCAATATCTCCTCCTTTAGTTCTCTCTCTCTATGCAATTTTTAGAAGGTCACCTGCTATCATGATGTCTGAGRTTTGTGAAGAGGATACACCTCTTGTTTTGCTGGCAATGAAGCAAATTCCAGTAATGGTTTATATTTCAGTAGTGATGTGAATATTATATAAACCTTAGGCAATCTTTTGGGTTTCTTTAATGCATGTTAACTGCAGGAAATGAGTAGCATCCAAAAGATGACCATCAGTTCTAGGGATGTAGCTCTTAGAAGGYCTAGGAAATTTTCAGTGATACAATTTCTCATTGAAAAGTTTTAATGAATTAGACCAAGTCTGCATGAGGAGCACTTTATTAGCTGTTTATCTTATTGACACATTTCTGCCTCAAATGCAGCTTACTAAAAAAATTATAGTCTTGCTAAAACCACCTAGTCTGGTCCAGGCCTCTCTTAC